GACGCCTCTGTGCCCCGAAATCAGTCTATGTTTCTCTTGGGTCCCGAGATAGGTGGACCCATTAAGAGTTTACAGAAAGGAATGAAGAAAAAAAAAAACGAAATTATAGGCTAGTAAAATAGCCTGTACGAGATAAAAATCTATCGAACCGTCCAATTGTGCATGGATAGTATAGCGCCCAAACCGTTCGTACTGTGTTGATTAAGTAAAGAAATAGAACATAATTATATTTCAGTGTGAATTCAACCACTATCAACACCATGTACCACAGATCTTCTTCAAAGCCTTTTATTCAGCTGAATATGGTATGCGTCTCAAATTTTCGTCGTAATGCGCTACTATCTGGGACTACGTTTGCACGACTGACTGTCGTTGAATCAGACTCTGGACAAAAGCTGCTGAATGCTTCATCAAACATCCATGTTTGTCTTATGAGCAATCGGTTTTCGTCCGAATTTTTCACACATTTTCGGATGATTTTACGGCAACCCAAACTGCGTCCGCTGTTTGACATCTTATCATTGGAGACTTTCTTTTCTACTTTTCATCATCCCTCCTATCTCGAAACGTGATTTAAATTGAGGCGAAATCTGATTTGCAAGCCAATAGAGAATGTTAAATTTTTGAGATCTTTCTTTTTTTCTCTCTCTTTCTCTCCCTCTCTCACTCCTTCTCACTCTCTCACGTCTCTACTCTGCCTTTCCAATTTTTACTTACAATTTTCTTTCTTATGCTGTACGTCTCTACCACTATTTCTGTGTTCCTCTCTTCTATAACAAGAGCAAACGAATGCACCAGTGAGTGCTTCGATCTACTTCCGTTCAAAACTCTGTGCTTTAATAAAAGCAAAGTGACAATGATAGCTCCTATTCAGTTTCCTGAGTTTCTTTCAAGGAAAAAAAAAACTGAGCTTGGAAATGGCAGCTTAATGACGTCTTTCTGGTTTACCAAAATGAGTTTACTAAAGAAAAGACCATAAATTTTGAATAAATGAACAACCATCTTAATTGCTGTAATAGGAAGACTAAAAACCAGAGGAAAACATGGTAGCAAATTGAATTTATTTCTGATGAGCAAAAACCCGGCCAGAATTGAGCGCTTAATTGCAGTGTCCAATGAAGAATGATTCTGATATGACAAATGTAGTTCCACAAAGGCCTACGATGGAATTCATTAAGCTGCAAAGCACGGCAATTTTTCTGAGACAGGATTTCTGAAAAATTAGCGCCAATTAGCATTCAGCGACAACGACGAAGAAGACATTTCTCAATATCTCTCAAAAAATTGACGTAAAACTTAGGAGATATAAGGCACAGCAGCTGCTCAGTTAAACGGAAGAATAGTCAGAATTCGCACATTAAGTGATGACCGATGAACTAAACAAAAAACCAGAGATAAGATATTTCTAAACCGAAGAGGTTTGTTGGATCAATTACAAATGCCCTCAAACAACAAGTTTTTTTCGAGTGTTTTCTTAAGACCACAGCTCAAATTTCAATATGCCAGATAATCATTTTTGAGCCACGCACGTCATGTGGTCTGTTATAAGGGCTGACTTATAGAGCCCAATATCCCTTTTCTTGACTTGACCCAATAGGGTCGGGCAGTTACTCTTCGTGTTTAGCCAATCCTCTCAGGGCGCTTAGTCTCCTAGACTAAGAGTAGGCGAAGACGAACATTTTTACACTCTATGTGAGGGGAAATTATCACCGAACACACAGTGTTGTACATTCGATTGCCATTGGCTGGTATCATTAGTATATCACACCTTTCTTTTCGAGTGTTTCCTTAAGGCTCAAAAATGATTCTCTAACATATAGAAATTTGAGCTTGGTCTTAAGAAAACACTAGTTTAGAAAGGCATGATATACTAATGATACCAGCCAAAAGCAATCGAGTGTACAACACTGTGTATTGGGTGATAATTTCACCGGACATAAAGTGTAAAATGTTCGTCGCCGCCTACTCTTAGTATAGGAGGACTGAGCGCCCCGAGAGGATTGGCTAAAGACGAAAGGGTACTGCCCGACTGATGACTGTCAAATTTGAAACACGTGTATCGGGATCCATAAGTTAGCCCTTCAACAGACCACATGACCTGCGTGGTTCAAAAATGATTATCTGGCATATTGAAATAAGTTTTATATCTTTCATTTCCTACTAGCTTTCTCAAAACCAAACATACAAGAAAGGATTGCGTATTGCACCTTCCTTTCTCAATCCTTTAAAAACGGAACCCCTTTCATGTTTCCTTCAGACTTTTAGTAACCATCTGTTGGTTTTAATTTAGGTGATTTTTATTTATTTTACTTTTTTTATACTTCAATTTTTATACTGTATTTGGACTTTGTATATGTCCTCCGTGCGTGACAGCGAAATAAGATTGTTTTTCCTTCGGCACATATTTTGCACGGCTAAAGATCGTGACTGGACTGTCAACAGAGTTTTAGTAGAGAATGTTTTAGAAATTAGTCTAGAAAGAAGTTTATATTTCTGTCTAGAGCTATTGCATTTTAGAAGAAATGCAATGGAATCGAACGTGACGTGGAAAATCGCCGGTTGATTAGGTGACGGTTGAAAGGCGGCTGACAGGCGCGTTCATCGAAGCATTTGATCAAGACTCGATCATGTCATTTCTCAGCTTATTCGTTTTACCAGGACCTCTGGAAAGTAATATCTGTTTTCGAACAGAATGTACCTGTGGTGGTCTACGATTTAGAAATACCTTCTTCGCTGAACATTTCCCTGAGGGTTAGTAATCATTCTAAAGTTCAAATCTCGCTGATTTCAATGCTGCGGTTTTTTTTCGAAAGTGCTTCTATGATTCGTTTTAGGAGAAAAATCAAAATTATGTTGAACACTCGGTTTTCTTTGTTAGCTCGGCTAGGGCGCTGGGCGAATCCTTTCTACACATAATGTTAGCACTCAGATAGCTGGTATTTTGATGAAAGATTGAGTTCGATTTTTGGAAATGATATTTATAGAGTGCTCTAAGAGCAAAAAGAAAACACAAATCAAAATCCACACCACAGAATAGTCAGCCCGTCGTTTAACTTTACAAAGGGTTTTTTATGAATCACTGTGGGTCCTTGTGGAGAGTTGTGGTCCCATCAATCGCGGCTGCGTGGGAAACGTAATCTTATTATGAATGCTGCAGGGTTGTAAGAAGGCTTTTTTGAAGAACACTTTATTTTTAACTCGTCGAATTTGCGCTAATTAAAAGTCTTTAGAAGCTTATAAGAGAAAGCTTTACCCAGCTTATCATAAGCGTAATATTTATAAGAGAACATAATCTTCTATATTTTGCTAGACAATGCTGTTTATTCAAACTATCAAATATCATTGAATAGAGTACATTTTGGGAGCTTCAAAAGTGTGCTTGTTTTCAAAAAAACCTTCTTCCACTTCTGTAGCATATATATAATAGGACTATGTTTCCCACGCTTCACGCTTGATGGAAACAACGCTTCACTAATGTCCGTAGCGACAGTAGGAGAAGCAAATGAAAGGTGGTATCTATAGAACGATAGAGCAAAGTTGCTTCTACAATCGTATAACAAGAAACCCTGGAATTTACCCGAAGAAAAAAAAATTTCAATTGAATAGCGGAAATCTCACCTTATAGGAGAGACATGAGGATCGCTGCTCGAAAGCTATTCAAGAAACACGTGATTCTCGTTTTTCATCCAAAAATTTCCTTTTTTCAAAAAAGCCTTGTGTTTTCGTTTCTTAACGCGTCACAATTTTCTTTACATATTTATATATGTTTCGTCCATATGTCTCCGAGTGTGAAACGTAATTTTTCCGCTCAATCAAGATCGTTTTACAAGTTGAATCCAGTTTCAGAATCATCATTTTCCAAGCCATCGAGTACGTATTGAAAGTTTATTGATGAGCTATATTAAAGCCCCAGCTGAGCAAAAATGTGCGGCGAAGGTGAAACGTGGCTCTATTCTTAATGCTACACCGCACTAATAAGGACTTTAGAAAATCCAGATAATGTATTGAAATCGCCGGGATTTAAGCTATCCACTCTTTACCAATTACGGTGTAGAAAGAGGAAGAGACGTTGCCTTGGACGGGTTCATGACTTTCCATAAACAGTTCTCTTATCCGAGCTCTTGAAAGCAGTGAGAGCAGCTTTGAATCCGAATCCTGATAACAAATTCGAGAAAATTTATCCAATGAAAGCAGAATTAGGAGCTTTCTAAATCACCGAAAATGGATGTGTTCAAGTTGTGTGATTTTTTGCTTTTTTGCCTTGTTGGGATGTCCCACATCGTCAGTCTATTGTGTTTCGTATTTAAGAAAAGGCATCTCATATTATTTGCAATTTCTTTTAGAGTATGTGTGTTTTTTCCGCATGCGGACAGATCATTTACGAGATTCTGATGGTCGGCTGTCTCATTCTGACAGCAATTCCTACATTTAATGGAGGTGGGCTCCACAAAATAGCAAAATCTAATTTCTTGGGAGACTATGAAGTATTGATTACTATACCATTTTCCAGCTATTGCTAATAACTTTAGCGAATTGAGTGATGAGCAAAAATACGACTTCAGACGGGAGCCGAATCCTCGTTTCATCCATACCGAGGACGGGTGCTACCACTAAACCACCGGGGCACATTTATACCATCACTCATTCTTCAACATCTCTATATTACCTGTCAGCCATCAACGTTTAACAGACTTGGTCGGGTATGCGATTTCGCTTTATAAACCCAGCTGAGCTGACTGCTGCTGTTAGATATAGTATTCGAGAATTCTAGTATTTTGTCTAAGGTCGTATTTTTGCTCACCACGCTTAGATTTATATGAAACATCATAACAGTGCGAAATAAGCGGTAAAAATACTAGAAATCTCGAATAATATATCTACCAATGGCTGTCAGCTCATTTGGGTTATAAGGCAAAATCGCATAGCCGACCAGACCTGTTAGAGATTGGTGGCTGACAGCTAACATAGAGATGTTGAAGAATGAGTGGTGGCACAAATGTGCCTCGGTGGTGTAATGGTAGCCTGCGCTACCGGTATAGATGAAGCGCGGGTTCGACTCCCGTCTGAGATCGTGTTTTCGCTCGCCACTTAACTCGCTTGGGTTTATATGGAACATCGTAACACTGCGGAAAAAGTAGTAAAAATACTAGATTTCGCTAACAACTTTTTCATGAATAAGGAAGGTGTAGCTTAGTGTAGTATGCAACCCACCCTATGGTCTCATATTCTCACGCTTCATATAGCTCTGATAACCTGTCGTATGAGCTTTTCAAAACATCCCTGACTTATCTTGCTAAAATTTTCATAACTGACAGCATTCTGCCAGTTCTGGCATTGCTCACGCATGTATTCTTACACTACTGATAAAGAATAGAGAGAGCTTTTGGGTACACAATAAGTAATACACGAGCCACAAGTAAGAAACACTCTTGAGATTACGATAGGCAGTGTCTCGTCTGCTCTGCTGAATTCATCTGAGCAACCGCGGAACCAGGTGTTCTGATCGTCCTATTCTTTACTAGAAAAAATAATTCACACTTGCCTATTCTACACTACTCCCATGCACATCATGGAAATATTATAGCTTCTTATGTGGAATTTTTCCACTGTATGCCTAAATATTATTCGTCTTTCTTTTCACTGTGTTACAAGCCTCCGCCATGTCCAACGATACAACCGGTTTTGGTCAACTAAAAGAGCGTTTTGATGCAGTAAAACACTACCCGACCACGCATTGCCAAAAAGATCAAAGACAAGTTTGATGAAATGGACAGAGTCCAAGGTTCTGCCGTATCGCGCCTACAGTCCATCATGCGCTCCATCCGACTCTAGCATTTTCCATCAATTCAACACTTTCTGAAAGGTTGCCCTTTTGAATCATCCGATGAAGCTGAAGAAGCTTGTCGAGGGTTTTTTCATGTGGAGTCGAAGGGATGGCAATTTCGACCAGATCAAAAACTTGGCGGGCCAATGGCAGAAAGTCATAGGTAACGATGGCCTTCATTTTGAAATATAGTTATTGTTGTTTCTGTTAGGAAATTATGCATAAACTGTCAAGTTTTCTACAAGTTCCTCAGACTATCTTTTCAACCTAATATGTGGCTGAATTGTCTTGATGTAAAAGGAGACTACTTCAACTGTTTTACCTTTTGTTTGAGTCCACTTAAAGTACAAGTAAAATTTTTTCATGAATTTTGAAAATACGACGGGACGTTTTCCACATCCTACTATTGTTCTTGTGGAAAAGTTGACGATATTATCGGTAAAGAAGATCTGATCCTCGAGTTAAAACTACCGTCAAATGATAATCTGAAAACATGATAATACGTTTGAGCCTGTTATGAGATCTGGTAAAACGTTTGTACAGTAGTGAACAGGTGCCTATTTCGCCCTTTCGCGCGCCTCACTAGCACACTGCCTTTCGATTTAGCTGATCCCTTGGGGATATACCCTTGCATATATAGAAATCGGCACCAAATGATAGATTACCGCAAGTCAGGTGACAAAATCCTTAGACATTTGAGGGACCAAAATCGAGTGCTTGTGGCTGGTAGATGAATTATACCGTACTCGTGACTGTTTATATTAATCTCGCTCTAAACCTCATGTGTGGAGGTATATCTCCAAGGGATCGGTTGAACCAAAGGGCACTGTGCTACTGAAGAATGTGGAAGGACAAAACAAGCGCCTGTTTAGTACTGTAGAAGTGCCGTACCAGACCTGATAACAGTGTCAAACATGTCCTGATAACAGTGTCAAACATCAAAGTAACATTGAGCGAGGTCTACGTAAACAATGGGAAGTAGGGTATGCCGTCAACCATATCAGAAGATTGATAAATTATTTTAAGTTACACCGTGGGGTTTCTGATAGCCTAATTACTCTTCTCCAATTCTTTCTTTGCCCACTGCACGAGCGACTTCAATCGTCAGGGTAGTGCGACATTGATCAACCTCTGTGAGAAGTTGTCCTCATGTTTGTCGTTGCTTGATACGGTAATGAAGAATGATGGATGGAAGTGCTGTAATTAGGTGTAGCACTTTAAACAGCAGTTGCTTAGCGCCCTTATTAGGTCGGGCAGCAACTCATATCAGATATGTATGAGTACATTTGAAATTTTGGTTTGAATTGTACTTGTTGAAATGACTGAGTATTATCAAATTCCTTAAAGCACTCGTAATCATATGAGATATATGTATAAGTCTTATAGTACAAAATTATGACTATTTCCTCCACCATGGTGAGCAACAATGGAAGTCTCATCTTCGTCCCATAGAGATCATAGTAGCATTCTGGTCCATATCTTACATCTTTCTGTAATCGGCTATTTTTCCGCTCTGCTGTCCACTTTTAGATAACTTCTTTGCTGTACCTACAAAATGAAAGCATCAGGAAAGGTGTCTTGAAGTTTACTATCAGCTGTGCAAAGCTTTCTGCAGTTGGATAGAATCTCATTTCATTGAATAATTTTGAGGCAGTGTCAATAAAGATGATATATGACGTAACTTGGTTTGGAAACTGAAGAGTACATCACCAAGTTTTGGATCCTGTGATTTTTCGGTGTCTCGGACGGATTTTCCCCGATCCGTGGTTCAGCTCAAAACTCTTTCATAAAGCGTTGCTTATCATATTGTTGCGACTGATAAAATTCTAGTTTGAGTAATTTGTCATAGAATTTAATCTTTGTGGATAAACAGGAAAGTCGAATCTGTCAAGTAAATCATTTACATGTCAACCGGGTGCGGCTGCTGTCATTCTGTAGTGCCGCGTAACTGTGATGCCCGCCATCGGGCAGAACGTTGCCGGTTCGATGTCCGCCCATGACGCTTCGCAGGAGGCCCTTTGGTGTTACTTCGTGGTGTCGAGCAGTACTTAAAGCTATCTACAAACGTGAATATTCTAAAAAAGAAAACGCCCATTGTCTACAAATCAGTACTTTTTGTTACAGCACGTAGATCTATGGGGTAACAAAGGAATCAACGCACAGGTTCTGCAAAATTCACTACAACTGCTTCTGCATAAGTTTCTCCACAGATTCCTATACAATAGATAACACCATTTTCAATCCAACTTTTACAACATCGTCGAAAGATATACTAAAAAAGTTGTAATCACGTTATCACAATTTGGAGTTACGTTTCTATCAAAAAGTAGTGGATGTTAGAGTTGAACGTTATTCTGTCTTCAAAATGACGTCTATAGGCAAACCTTTAATACTAATTGGCACAAGAAACAACACCGAAACAACCTTTGCGAAGCGTCGATGTAAGGGGGCGAACAAGCAGCCCCCTTTCCAATGCCCGGATTCACTGACCCCCACGGAGTGCCTGTGGCGGGCTATGAGACAGAACTAGCACTAGTGACCTGTCGTGCTCAAGGGATTATTCTACGGATATTGAGGTCAATTGCGGAGAAGTCTTACTTTTAGCATAATCCTCTAAGTCTTTGTTATTCTCGCGGAACAAGTTTTCACGATAAATGTGAGGCGGCTAAAGCACAACTATTGCCATTTCGCCCTCTTATTGCAAACCTCTCTTGCATTGGCTTCCATTATAAGGAATCTTGCTGATCATTATCATAATCACACCGATCGCGCTCATTCTACCCGCATAAGCTGTATGGCTAACACTGACAGAAACATATCTATGTCTAACTCTTCTTTTTGAGTTATCGATTGTGCAGCATTTTTACCTCATATTTATCATCTATTTCATAGGCTTTATGATTAATGAGTACTACAAGTGCATAAATTGCACATGCTTGAGTTTCATCACATTCGCCTCATCGCAATTACTATTCACGAACGCTGTATGCGAAGAAACTAATCGAACTCAAGAAGTGCTGGATAATATTGCTGACAACAATGAGTTATGAAAAAATAGGGTGATGAGCAAAAATTTGACCTCAAACGGGAGTTGAACCCGTGCTGCAGTCACACTGGTGAAAAAACAATCAAAACATGAGAAGTCCGAAGTTTTTCCATTTTCAATTGAGAAGCCAAGAATCTTCTCTGATGCAACTCCTTGTATCCTAATGTTGCTCCATTAACAGCATTTGCACTGCGATGTCAACTTATATCTGCCGCTAAGGTTCCAACGTAATGCCACTTATGCCAATCTATATCCGTCGCTTGGATCGAAAAATATTGTCACAGGCGAGTAATCGCGTATATTGGTCGAATGAAGACAAACAAGCATGTGCACCCGGTATGGGTGAAACGCGAGATTGACTCCCGGCTAAGAACGAATATTTTGCATCCCGTTCAGTACTCATAGATGTAATTTGTAGAACATAACACTGCTGATCGGCAGTAAAAGTGAAGAATTCATTTAGAATCTAGACGTGCCCAAATGATAGAGCTTCGTGAACAATAATGATTGAAAAATCTAATCTTTTCTTTGATTTTAACTTTTCAGCGACAATAACTTTCAACTTTTTCAGAGCTCTTCACATGGAAATGTTTGACCGATCTCAACAAATGTGATCCGTTTCAAAAAGTACGTCTGTTTGAAACGAAGAACACATAACTTCAAGCAATCTAAAAACACCTATGCCCTACGTAAAGCATTTCTTTGAACTGCGAGGAAATTTTTTTTAACAAAAGGAGTAGTCGCAAATACGCAGAGTTTCTCCTCAATTGTATGGTCCATACTGAAACGGCTGAGAGGGAGGCAGAGCGAGAGCCTGAGTGAGTCCACGGGAGGGGTTTTAGCTGTGTGCAGCGTGTTTGCAAGATTGCTCATATTTCAACACCCTTGTGGTTATGTGTAAAGCAGTTCGTCTTGATAACCAATTTATATGCGCTTCTTAGCTATCAACATTCATGTTGAACTTGAAACATCTGCAGTGAATCAGAAGCGTTATGTATCTTAAAGATGTCGACGTTAAGAAAGATATTTTCAGGAAGCTCATCAAGGCTATATGAAAACTGTAGCTACCTTCATGTGCCTGGCATTGTTCTTCGAATTGGTCTGCATCGTTTGGAATCTCGTGGCCTTGTGAGTCTAACCGCGTTTCAGGTGTAGTAAATCTCATAGGCGGCATAACCCATAGATGCTAAAGAATGGTTGA